ATGAAACAAATAATTTATTTAATTAAATAAAAGTCTTTAGCTCAGTGCCTGGCACAGAGAGATGTTCAGTGAACGTTCTCTCTTTTCTCTCTTCCCTCCATGGCTCTCCCTTCTTTCTCTGTCCATAAATTTAGGTTTGATGTTTGGTCTATCATGCAATGTTTCTTACATTTTATTGTACTTTGATGGTTCCTCAGACATGACTAATCTTTTGACCCTTCACCTTGGGGTTACCCCAAGGAGGGGGACGAGAGATTGGGCTGGGCTTGGGTTTGGGATGAGAGAGCCAGATAGAAAGCACCAGGCCATGTTTAAGGTACAAGGACAGAGATCCAAACTGGTGGAGCCAAATCTGTTCTCAGGTTCAAAAAGTGACCTTGAAGCCAGAACAAAGGGCACCCAAGTCATTGGATGGTTTCAAAGCAAATACTAGTCTATGTGAAAACATTTGTCATTGAAAGAGAAACATGGTTTGGAAAGGTTATTAGTCAACTCAGGCTGTCATAACAAAATGCCAGAGAGTGAGTGGCTTAAACAACAGAAGTTTACATTTATTGCTCACAGTTCTGTAGGTTGGAAGCCCAAGATCAGGGTGCAGCATAGTTGGGTTCTAGTGAGAGTTCTCTCCCTGGCTTGTAGATGGCCTCCTTCTTGTTGTGTCCACCCACATATGGCAGAAACAGCAAGCAAGCTCTCTGGTTCTTCTTTTTAGAAGGGCACTAGTCCCACTAGAGGGGCCCCATTCTCATGACCTCATCTAACCTAATTAATCTAACCTAATTACCTCCCAAAGGCCTCATCTCCATGTACCAACACAGTGGGGGTTAGGGCTTCAACATTTGGGTGTGTGCGGGGTGGGAGGAAGGTGAGGGGGAAATGCATACATATAGTCCATAGCAATAGGCAACTACCACAGTACAGCTTTTATTTTACTTCAGTGAGTACCATTCTGCCCATTAAAGAGAAATCTTTCAGAAACTTGACTTCGTCTCTTTTTTGTGCTAAAGTCATTTTTAAAATTTTAATTGTTGTTCATGTACAGTTTTCTATCTTTTACCCCCATCCCAACCCACCCCCCAAGCCCTCCCCACCTCCCTCCCGTTTCCACGCCCCCCCCTTGTTATTGTCCATGTGTCCTTTGTACTTGTTCCTGCAAACCCCCCTTTCCCCTAAAAGTCTGTCCCCTCTCCCCTCTGGTCACTGTTAGCCTATTCTCAATTTCAGTGTCTTTGGTTATACTTTGCTTGTTTGTTTGTTTTGTTGATTAGATTCCTGTTAAAGGTGAGATCATGTATTGACTTTGTTTCTAACCAAGTGAAATATATACTTTTGAAAGCACAACATTCATTTGTTGTTTACTGACACAAGGCTCAAGGATATTCCACTCATAAGTTAACAGATTTCCTTGTAAATATCACTATAAATATATCCCCATATATTTGATGCAGGAGTTGAATTCTGCTATTAAGTCTGTTTGTTTGGGTTTTTTAAACAAATCTGGAGCAGATAGTTCTTTGTCAAACCACCTTTCTTCTTGTCAAGAGCCATTGTTCCCTTAAAGGAAGTGAACATTATATCTGCAACCTTGACTTTCTTATAAAGAAAAATTAGGGATTCCCTTTCCCCTGTTTTATGCCCTAGGTCTAAATTCTTTGTCAAAAGAAGATCTCTTTATAATTAACAAAATGCACAGGATGATAAGGTGTATTTTCTTAGGAAAATAGGTGTTCAGATCTATGGCATAAATAAATTATATAGATTGTATTCAGTAAGTTATTTATTACATAATAAATTATTGGGGTATTAGAGGCAAATATATTGACCATAAACAGGCAAATAATCCTTTTGTCACATGAGTATAGCATTCAACCCAAAACTGTATTATGCCTTAATATTTTTATAGCTAAATTAAATGCTACATTTTCCCATTTAAGGTAACTTTGGGTTTTAAAAAATTGATTTTCCAAATATCCCCAACCTTTAAAAAGTGCCATAACACATAGTAACCCTTAAAAACTGTTAGATATTTTTTAAGGAACACTGCAGAATATAAGCAAGAAATGCTAGGCAAAGAAAAGCCTTCTGAGGAGCCTTATTTGGGTAAAAGAAGAACACTCCATGCCACAACAAGTGAATGCCACCTGCCTGGAAGGCCCCACTTGAACTTGGTGCCCAGGCACTATGGGTCTGGCCTAGACATTGATGAGGTTTTGTCAAGCTCTATGTCAGAGCACTGGATGGTCTCATTAACATGTGACAAAGGCCTGCAGGGAGAAGGAGAAATGCTCACAGAAACCGTGTCCTAGCATGATAGTCAACAAACTCAACTAACAGTAATAATACTAGGTAACCGTTATGAAGATCTTTACTTGGTGCAAAACTCTGATCCAAGGACTCTTCATGCATTATTTCACTGAAATCTCCCAACCCCCTAGGAGGTAGTTACTGCTTTGTTAAGCCAGTACTTTACAAAAGGTGGGGCTTAGAGAAGTTAAACAATTTGCCCAACAACTGTTACGTGCAAATCTTAGATATGAGTCCAGACAGTTGGGTATTTTATCAACTACAGTTACAAATCCCCAGTGGTATCAGACTTGCTCCCCTAAAGCCCCAGACGGTGCTGATGGGACATTGCACAGTTGAAGGGGCACTGATTCACCTCTCAGTTCATATGTTCCCAGGAAGTTACTCTCGGTTCCTGAAAAAAAAAAAGCTTTCCTGCAAGCATTGTTGCAATGAAGATAAGTGTAATTTTGTTACACTTATCTTCATTTTGTTCTACTAAAATGAAGTAAGATAACTCTAATAATAGGGAAGGGCCGCTGGGTTGGCGCCAGCTTTGAAGCCTACAAACTCCACCTGTGATTCAGTCCACAGGCTACGTTCTCAAGAACTTTTCCAGGTGGACAGTTTGCTTACTCTGTGGCCCGTGAGAAAAACAGAAGGGAATGAGCAGTTGCTGCCACCTCCTGGCTTCACTCCTCCCCATTCCACCTCCACAAGCAACCCCAATCCCATCCTTTCCAAGGAAATCACTGTCCATGTCATCTTTTTGAGAGTAGAAGAGGGAAATAGGGTCCAACCTGGGTCAGATGGGGATGTGGAGAGAAGTGGTTATGCCTGAGACATCTACTGAAGCAGGACAACACGGGCAGTCAAAGAGTCTTTGGAGCTAAAGAGTCTTTGCAAAGAGTCTTTGGAGCTAAAGACCCCTTCTTTATTTTCCCTCTTCTCCATTCTCTGGCATCTTCTCTCTGGCCTGATCAAACTCTGTCCTCAGGAAAGGACCTGAGACCAGCTGACTCAGTGGGAACAAAGTCAGGAAGTTCATGTGGTTTCTGTGCCCCCTAAAGGGCTTTGAAGAATCAGTGAGCGAGTCAGGGAGGTAGGCTTTGTCTTGTTCAGGATTAATTCCCCAGTGCTTAGATCACTGCCTGGCTCCTTAAACTTTGCTGAATAAATAAAATCTGGGGGCCAGGGAGTCCTTCTTGGGAACCTAAAGTCGCACATCTCTTGGCCCTGCGTTGTGGACCTGTGGGCCGCAGGTGCAGCAGCACAAGAGCTTCCAGCCTGAGCATTCCACATCCACTTCCTGGAACGCAGCGCCTCCTAGTGGAAGTCCAAGGCTGCGGCCTCCTCCCTAGATAGTTTTGCCGCTTGAAGGTTTGCCTGCTCTTTCCTAGTGCTAAGACCTAAAGAAGAGCTTAGATTTCAAGTTGGAAGGAGTGGGGGAAAGGACACAAACCCAGAATCAGAAACTACAAAAGGTGAGTGTAAAGCAAAAGGTCGAGGGGAGAGGTTGTCTGACTGCTTAAAGAGGGTGTCCCAGAGCAGCAGGTGAAGTCATCCAAGGTCAAGATCTGTAGCTCTCAGTTTCACAGGCCAGAAACTCCATTTTGTCAGTGCACCCAGACATAGGGAGACTCAAGGGAACTAAATCATACCAACCAAATTCTTAAGACTCTAAATCAAAAACCAATAACGAGAACAACTGAGTTGCTGAGAATAATGCTCTTCCCTGTAAGAACACCCACACGGGCAGTCAAATCATTATCTAAAGCCAGAGCAAGGGGAATTAAGTGAGAGCAAGGGGAACCAAGCGAGTGACCTCAGAAAAAGATTCTATAAAATTGTGAGAGCTGTGAGCACCCATCTCCAGGACAGCTATACCTGCCAAGAAGGCCAGCAGTCAGAAGTGCAGGAGAACACCTTCCCCTTCTGTTATTCTTCCTACGACCAGGAACTTTCTGTTTGGCTTTCTTTAGAGCATTCCTGCCCTCAGAATATACTTCAGTTGCCTTGGACGAATGTGAATTACTAGAGTGAGTTACCTCAGATACAGTATGTTGGTGGGTTTTATTTTCCTGGTTAACTGGTTTTGCTCGTAATACTGTTAGAAGGAGACTAACAGATTCTGGGAACACCTCACTACTCAGTATTGAAGGAGCTGCAGGAAAGGACTGGGAGGATGGATGGTGGCAGGGCCATCAGGGTAAGAACCAAAGCCTTTCCTTACTTCCCACCCTGACACCTTATCCAGCTTGTGAATTAAAAAATCTTCAGTGTAGTTATTCGCTGAGTGGTCAGAGGCATGAAAGTTGTCACATTTCTGTTGGCCAGTTTTATCTTTGCATGTGATGTTGATTTCATATTCACATATACATATATATGTGTTGTGTGTATCCCTTAAATCTGGCAGTTTCTTTGGCTCACCTTCCCCCATTCTGTTCTCTCGTCGTCTGAGCTGTCCTGTTGCATGGCTTTAAATTCATCAAATTTAGGAAACTGACAGTGGGGAGACCTGGGAATTACAGTCCTCAGCTGTGTCTTGCTCTTAACATGCCATTCAGTAAGTCTCTGCTGGTGGATTGTAGGTAAAGAAGACACAAACCCACTGCAGTGTCCATCTCCCCAGGAATACTTCCTGACTGACTTTGCCACCCCCCCCCCCCAAATCCCCTGGGAGCAGCCGGAGAGGTTCAGACTTCACTGTGTCCTACCTGATTCCCTCCTTGTGATACAGCTGCAGTGAGGAACCCGAGAGCCAAATCCAAAACGTACTTCTTTTATCTTTTGCCATTGTATAATTTCGACTTGCTCTGGCCTAAAATCAAGCAGCAAAGAACAATCACAGAGAAGAATGTGGCTTCCCAAACCTAAAAAGGGTGCCCTTGCCGTGCCATTGTTCCCACAATGCCGTGACTCGGATTCGAACCGAGGTTGCTGCGGCCACAACGCAGAGTACTAACCACTATACGATCACGGCGAGCTACCGGGACACCACGAGCCACTGCTGGCCAACTACTGTCCTCTTGTATAGGGCCACCCTTCTTCCCAAATTGACCAGTGTCAATCAGGTACCACTGGCCCTCGTACTGACCCTGAAGCAAAGTACCCGTAACGTGAACTCCCGGGCCAGCCGAAGTCTCGGCAGGTTGCCCCAAGGGACCATAAAAGACGTGGAAGTGCTTTGCAAACTGAAAGGACTCCAGTGGGGCCAGGCCGACGTAGTCTACATGGATGTAAGACCCCAGAGTCGACCAAACGGTGGCCGTAGATCCCTCTCACACCCACCGACCCCCGGCGCTCACGCTATCTGAACAGATTCTGGTTCAGAATGGGGCTGTCTCTTAAGTTCTAACGAGAAGGAAAATCAGTTCCGACTCCCCCGCACAACTTCCTTTGTGACGCCGGGAAGGGGAAGACCCAGCGCAGCCTCCCTGGAAGTGAAGCGGAGGAATCCGGCCCGCCAACGGGTCGGGACTGAAATCAGGAAAGCAAGGAGACAAACGCTCCAGCTTACGCTCAGAAAACGCAAAGTCTGGGGTTGGGCGGGACGAACCCTGACCAGCCAGTGACACGTCGAGGGGCGGGGCATTTAACACACAAGATCTCAGAAGAAGAACCTTACCATGGAATCCCCGGTAGCTCGCCGTGATCGTATAGTGGTTAGTACTCTGCGTTGTGGCCGCAGCAACCTCGGTTCGAATCCGAGTCACGGCATTGTGAAAGCAATAACACGGCAAGGGATTCTGCTTTTAGAGCTCTCCTCCGTTTTTCGCGAGGGGGTGTTTTACGACCTTCGGAAATGGATTCCAATCCTCTTGTGACCGTGAGAAAAGACGTTTTTTTCCAGCTCTAACCAAATGGGACTTACGACATTTATAAGCTTCGAGTTACTCCGGCTCTATGCGTGTTATTGTTCTTGGAGGCAAGTACAAAAGCACTCACAAGGCTATGTTGTCCCAGGTCTGTAAGAATTTCCATGGCAGCACTGGAAACGGATTCCCAATAATAGGGAGAGAAGGCTTCGCAGAGCAGGTGACCCGTGAAACAGCGCTTGAAGGCACAAAGAAAATTCGTCATCAGCCAGAATAATCTCTTGTGCAAAGGCGTCAAGAACTCTGTATTGTAATTCCTCTTTGTAAATTTTCTCTCTTCTCCATCCCCGAGACTCCCAAAGGCCCTGGCCTGACAGGCGCTTCTCAAGGACCTGTTGAGTGAATGAATGCAAGTAATTAGGGATATGGGAAACGACTCTGTTGGAGAGCCAAGAGATGAAGTGGAAAAGGTAGACAAATTTCTTGCAGTCTGGAGTGTGGGAGTGAACGTGGAGCGGTCAAACGTTTCAATTCGTGTTTAGCAAGATCCCTCCGGCGATTCTGTAGGGTGTGGGTGTGTGGAGGCGGGTGGTTGATTACAGCAATTGACACTGGAGAGGTGAATGAGACTGGTTCGTGGCTTCACTTTTCAGAACCAGTGGTGCCTTCTCAGTTTAGCAAAAAGCCACCGCCTACTTTGAACTCGGCCCGGTCCTAGGCGCCGTGGGGATGGACGCACTGATAAAGAAAAACCCAGTCTAGGCCCTGCTACCGCCCAGGGGCACAACAGAGGTGGGCACCGAGTGCGGCGGGAGCACCGCGGAGAGAGCAACCGGGGCCTTCGGGAAAGAGAAGCTGCAAGGAAATGGGTGTTGGAGGGAGGGGAACGGCAGTGTGTGATGCTTTGAGACCCTTCTACGTAGCCAACCGAGTTGTAGAGGTGTCCACCTCCTCCGCAGAGGCGGCGTTGTGTTACTTCTGGGGGGATCAGCGAGGGAGAGAACCCCCGAGGGCCCCTGCAGGCCCAGGGTCCCTTGAAGGGTCTCCCCGGCACAGAACATGGGTGTCCTTCAAGGAATGGGAGTTAAAGCTTGTAAACACTGATTTCTGGCCAGTACCGTACCTGATACCCAAAGTGTCACCTCTAAATTTCCGCTTCACTCACATGGAACCCACTCGTCCCCACTGCATTATCACCGAATCGAAGTCTGAAGAACCGAAACTGGAAAGAACGCAACCGGCGAGAGTGCAATGCGCCTGCGCATTCTCTGACTCAGCCAAGCGCTGGAACCCCGCCCCATAGGTGGGCCGTTCAGTGACGTGTAGACTGGGAAAGCGTATGACTACTGAAAGAGACAGTAAAAAGGACTCAGCCCCAAGGCTCCGGTAGCTCGCCGTGATCGTATAGTGGTTAGTACTCTGCGTTGTGGCCGCAGCAACCTCGGTTCGAATCCGAGTCACGGCATTGTGGGAACAATGGCACGGCAAGGGGCTTGCATTTTACTTTTCTTTCCTGTTTTCCCCGTTTGATAATGTGTGCATTTTACTTTTCCTCTTTCCCCCAGTTGATAATGTTTTATAAATACCATAACTCTTCTTGAAATAAACCACTGTATCTCTCTACCTGGAATGCTAAGCGACTTCTAAGATCATTACCTTCAGTAATTCTCATTTAATGCTTCAGCTCCATATCAAACAGTTCGAAAATCGGCCTCTAAATCATTCTCCTACACCAACAAAACAGCGCCCCTCTCACTCCGTGACGTTGCTATATTTTTCTGTTTCATGCATTTTTTAAAAACTGAATTGTTCATTTTTAAAGGTGAACACTGGAGAGTCCATGTACACAAGTCCAGTGAAAAGTAATCCTCCTCATTCTTCACCCCATTCTCCAATTATTGCCAATTTCACGTATATCTTTCCATGACAGTCTTTGTATAAACACTTATATATGTATGTATGTATGCGAATATATTCCTCCTTGCTTCTTGCAAAATACAAATGGCCTCTTCCCCTCTCTTCCAGAAGTCAAAACTTGATGTGACAGATTTGTTCTGGTAGGCAATCTCCCTTTACAGGGAAAAACAGTACACATACCTGGAAGGAATCACCACCCACCCTAATCTTGCCCTTTTTCTCCCCAAGCCCTGACCCCTGGCTTGGGGTAGGAGGGTAGGAGATGTTTGCATTGGTAAGAGTGCAGAAAGTGATTCATTACTGTGCCCATAAAAACCTTTGGATGGGAGCCTGGACTCTGTTGGGAAGCAGCCCTATTTTGATTTCAGGTCGGAAGTGCAGGAAAGCATCCTGGGTTTAGAACTGAGAGGAGGAACTTGTTAATATTTGGTGATTCTCTACTTTTATCTCTCACCAATCTTACTGTCGGGATCAATCTTAAGTCACAAACCACCTAAGCTAGAGAATTCAAGTTCATTGAAGGCAGAACAAAACCTTACTATGTTTGTGTTCCAAGCATATATCTTCTCCATAAATATTTGAACAGAGGTTTCTTATGGATTCCATAAATGTGTGAAGTGGTCCAGTTTGCTTTTTGACTGCATCTTAAGTTGTAATCTTTCAACACAGAACCATGTTATTTTTATATCAGACAAATAGAAAACTTGGCCCAAATGAAGCTCCATCTGCATCCAGAATCTCAAAGAACAGACTGCATATGAGTGTCCTGGGATATACTTACTAATCCTTTCAAGGTTGTGGACGGAGATGTGCCCAAGGCAAGGCAAAGACCAGACTTAGAGGAAGGCAAAACTCAGAAGGGATCGCTCAGGACAGTACTGAGCATCCAAAGTTAGGAACAAACAAAAGTGAGGACACCCCATCCGGTCAGTACCCAGTAAGAAAAGTGAGAGCTAAGGACTAGGCCTTGGCACATGCACAAATTTAGGAGGTTAATGGAGGAAGACAGGATGCAGCCTAAAAGAAAGGAGGAGAACCAGAACACTGACATTCTAAGGAATGTTTTGGAGAAGATTTCAAGCACAAATGAGGTCAGCAAACTCAGGTGCTACAAAGGAGAAAGGAATGAATCGAAATCATTAGGTTTGATACTTAGAAATCATTGCTCACTTTAAAAACTTTCCATGAGAACAACTTGATAATATGTATCTAGAATCAGAAAAATTATATATACTCTTTGCCCCAATAATTCCACTCTTGGGAATCTTGCCAAATAAAATAATCCTAAATTTGGAAAAGTTATCTGTATAAAGATGTTTATTACAGAATAACTTGGAAGAGAGGAGAGCAGAAATAGCCTAAATGCTCAACAAATAAAAGTGCTGATGAACATTTGGTGGTATATTAAATAGTCACTTTAAAAGTATTAAATCAACTTTTAATATCATTCCCAACTAAAAAGAGTAAGATTTTCTTAAAGAAATGATTGTTTACAGGTCTGCAGCAGGGGAAGTACAAGTCGAGTGAAATACCTTGTGTAAGAAAGCGAGTAAGTGCTTAAAGATTGATGGAACCAAGTCAAAAAGACACAGAAGCCTTCTGAAAGGACTTCTATCGGACAAATTTGGGGCAATTAGAGCATCAAAAACAATATTGATGATAATGGGTTGTATCATATTGAATTTTTTAAAAAAAAATTTTGAGACCATGGGGAGAGAGAAAGAAGGAGGGGGAAGAAGAAGAGGAGAAGGAGGAACTCTCAGTAGAACAATTCCAGATAATAAATAAAGAAGAAATGACTGAATTAGACAGTCAGCATTTTGCAATCCCCAGTAGAATAACAATTGCAAGCATAGAGCATCATAGAAGTTAAAACCACTGGGTAAAATGCTGTTGGAAACCAATAGTAAAAAGGTCTGAGGAAATCACACCAGAGCTTACTTTAAGTTGCAAAGTTGAGAGATTTGATGAAATCCAACTTCACCAAGATATCAAGCCTAGCATCACTAATAATGACACAAATGTGCACTGTCGGCCTCCCAGTGCAACCCATTGGGAGGTCCTCAACATCCCCTATGTAGCAGTCTTTTCAAAATTGGAAAGTTCTTTAATTTTTTAATTTAATGTTTATTGTATTTTTCCCATTACCATCTAGTCCCCTTATACCCCTCCACCCCCAGCTGGAAAGTCTTTTAAAAAATGTTTACCCTGAATCTAATCATGAGGAAACTATGGGAAAATCCAGAATGTGGGACATTCTACATGACAACTGCCTCAGACACTTCAAAACAATCAATGCCATGAACAACAAACTGGCAAAACTTTAATGGGGAACTGTTTAAGATTAAAAGAGACTAAAGAAACTTAAACAAATGCAATGAGGCAATCTGGATTAAATCCTGAATTTAAAATATATGTGACATTTTGGAGGGAAAATAGACAAATTTCAGCATACACCGTATAATAGACAATACTATTTTGATAATGGTTTTATGGCCCTATAGAAGAATTTCTTATTCTTAGGAAATGGCTGCTGAAGTATTTAGAGGTGAAGTGTCATGATATTTTCAATCAAGTGCTTAAGAAAAAAAGAAAAAGGAATAGAGCCAATATGGCAAAATGTTGAAAACTAGTGAATCTAGTGAAGGGTATACAGATTTCCACTGTGCTTTCTTTGAGCTTTTTTGTAGGTTTGAAATTTTTTGAAAAAGGAGTTGGGAGAAAATAAAACATGACAAAAATGGGGAAATTATGCAATATTAAACTAAAAAATAAAAACAAAATTGTGTATACCACAAGCATAGCTCTGTAAAATAAGAACAAGATAAATAATCTTTATTCATGTCAACATTTGTTAAGCTCTTGCCACATGACAGGCTCTGCATGAAATGATGGGAACAACTTTCTCCCTTTCAGAAGCTCCTCTTCTTGCCTTCCCTAGCTTTTCCTCCCAGGATATTATTTCCCAGTGATGCTTAACATGCAAGACTTTGGATCTAGCCAATTCCACCCAAGCCTCAGAGCATGCTTGCTGTGACAGCCTCACCTCTGTATCCTTGGATCCTAGCAAGCTACCTGGCCCCATGAGGCTCTCAACAAGGCCTGCTTTGGGGAGTCCACACTCGGGTGGGGGAGGAAACTAACTCCCCCAGATCATTTAAAACGAGATTGAGTACATGGTGCACACAAGGTATTACAGCATTTTAATTATCATTTAAACTCTACCTTTATAATATCCTCTCCTCTCCTAATTTTATTTCCAACTCTTCCCTGCTATGGGTTCTCCCCTTCTTTGTGACAGTCTG